TTGCACATTTTTGAAAGACATTTTTGAAATGTCTTTCTTACAGGGTTTCAGTAAAATCCACTTCATCTGACTCCAAGAATAAGATTAGGGAAATTTTTTGATCACATTATTTGATCATTTTTTTCTGATATGTTTGGTTGGGGTTTGTTCTGAGGTTTTTTGCAAGCCTAGGAAATTATATACAAAAATGACATTTAAAGAAGCCAAGAATACAAAATCAAGAACTCAAGAGTTAGAACACCATATGACTAGAGTTGCTTGCACCCTAGGCTTTAATGTACTTCATTACAGTTCAGCTACCAGCTCATGCTACCATTTTTGATAGGGCTCAATGCCTCAAGCATCCCAATGACAATTATGTCTGTTACAAGAACAGGCCAGGGCATTATAAAATAAAATTAAAAAAAAAATCAATCTATCTCTACAGGTAATAAACTTTGACAAAGTTGAATGACTCAGGCAGGAAGAAAAGCAAGCCAGTCCTGGTTCATATAGCCAAATACTGCACTGGAGAAGAGGGTTCAGCTCTGCTGCTTCCTTGGACTGATTGAGAGCTACTGAGTGAATCAATCACTGAACATGAAACTTTCACCATATGTTACTGACTTCTCACTTCTCCACACCCAACAGTGGACATTGGCAATGTAAGACACCAAGGCACTCAAAACTTGGAGTTTCCATGAAACATGAAGTTTCAATGATTGTTGGACCCTAAATGAGAAAAAGTTGCTCTAATTGTGAGTCACCTCACAGTCCCAGACCAACCCAAAACTTGTGACTGTGCTGGACCTGGACCTCAACGAGCCTCACTTCTTCCCCTGTGAACCAGGACAACATTTTTCTTTCTCTTTGCAGGGTAACTGTAAAAATACCATACAGACCCACAACCTTGTATGCATATATAGGCACGTGGAGGTCAGGGAAGGACTCGGGTATTACAGCAGTAAGTGAGTGCCACAGGAAAACCCAGCAGTAATTATTAATTCCATCTTCAAGCACGGTTTGAATACAGCTCAACAAATGAAGCACGGAAGAATGAGGGCAAGATAAAATATTGACTAGCTGCTCCAGCATTGTCTGGGCTGTGCCCTAGATAGCACAAGGGTACTTGGAAAAAGGAGAATGGGAACACCTAATAAAGGCTGGAGCTTTAAGGATTTGAATTCTTATTTTTTTTTTATCATTTTAATGCAGCTGGATGCAATACTATTTAGAGAGAGAATCCCACAAAGACATGCACATATAGGGAAATTATATAGGCACATTTTTCTGCAAGTATACAAACATCTTATCTGTGTGCACCAAGACTTTTCTAAAACATAAACAAGCATCTGACACCTAATGCAGACCTTGATTAGAATTGCTCTCTCTTCTTCATAGACTACCGCCAGTAATTATTTACCATTAGCTCTTAATGGGAAGAGATTCAGCAGGGATGTAGTAAACAAGAAAACCGTATAGATTGTTCAGTATAGCCTGACTGGCTCTCAGCTGAGGTAAGAAGTGATAGGATCATACCTGGATATTTCAATTCATTGTTTTTATCACCTGGGAAAAGCACCTTATTAACCTGTACCTGTTCAGGTCTCCACCATGTCCATATAGGCATCATACAAGTGCCCCTTCTTGCTCATGTTACTGTGCTTGGAACCCTAAACTGCCACGGGGTTAAACAACTGATATGACAGAGATCTGAATGGTTCATTTAGACTAATGACATTTGAACTCTGCTATCTTCTACCTTTCACAGATTTATTTTTATTTTGCAGCAGGGTAAGGGCTCCCTCTTCACACGACAGAAACATCTGACTGAGGCAAAAAGATGGTTCTAGAAGGTGATTCATAAGTGAAGTCATCATGTGGGGAAAAAAGAAGCAAAAAATCCTCTGTGTGGATTATTTCATTACTTTAAAAATAAAATAAAATAACCCAATGAAAAGGGTCACAGTAAAAGGACTGTGGTATTTTTAAAGACATGTGCCCTTTCATGGATATATTTTCTGGCACATCTCACATCATCACCCCATTCCTGTGACTCCTCCACCATCAACAGGGGTTATGTTTATCAGCCTAGGGAGCCCCAGCACCAGGGCAGTCCATATGTGAAAATCAACATTTTTTTTCCGTTACAGCAAAAAACTAAAATATGCAACCAGCACATACCGAAAAGGCATTCAAAATATGACAAAAAAAATTTGTTTAAATGCTTTCAGTCTGCAGAAAACAAATGCCCTCTTCACTGACTGGTCTGTGGCAAACTTCTAATTCCAGCCAGAAAATCCAGCATTCCCAGTCTGGGCTAACAACCATGCTACCAGACATGAGTTTATGTTTTTCATGCACATTTCATGTATTCCCACATGCTGTGTTGCTGCCAATAATTTATGACTGATCTGCACCCAGCCTGCCCTTCAGCATTTTATTTAATCTCTGCAACAGTGATTTACAATGACTCATCATTAATACAAAAATGTACATGTGTGTTAACAAGTTTGGAAGAATCTAAGGAGGAAGGCAAATTTTTTTGTGAGTTCTGGCTGAATGACTTATGAGCCTGCTTAAGAAAGGCAAAACTAACCAGAAATTATATGTTAGCTCTTCCCTGCAGCACAACATTTAGGTAGGAAGAGTTTCTTGTGCACATTGCTTTAGAAGAAAAGGGATCCAGCAAAACGATTGAGAAGGTTGCTCCATAGCCCCCAGGATTTGGGAGGGGATGAGTAGCTCTCTGCTCACCTCATGGCTGGGTATTCCCGAGCAACCTGCACACTCAGCAACAGCTTCACAGTCTCCTTGTTCCTTAGCATTACAAAAAGCAGGGGCTGCATTGCCATATTTTGGCATCTCTGCCCACCACCTGCGATTTAAGACAGCCCCACTGCCTCTATAGTGTTAAATTGTTGTGCCTCAGGGGAGAGAAGAATTGTTTCAATAATTTATACAATTGTAACACCACAGCAGAATTACTGAACTGGCTCAAGTAGAGGAAGTCTGCCCTGTATCCACAAGACTTCAGTTATAATGTATTTTGACCTTTTTTTTTTTTTCTTTGCACATAAGGAACTTAAAAGAACACACCTGACACAAAGCCAAAGAAAAACCTCCTCATATTCGAGGAGAGACAGGTACTGAAAAACACCCTGGAGAGAAAACTGAAAGAAAACCTACTGAAGGTCACTCTGGAGAAATTCCACCACTTTTAGTTGAATCCATACTATGTTCATCATCTTGAAAAATGCCTTGTGACGGACCATCCCAAACTGACACATTTGTCCATGTTGAATCCTGCACTCCCAGACCCCGCAGCAGCAACACACCCATTCTCCACCCCATTGTTAAACCAGACCCTGATGAGTACCCACAGCTCCTCCGTGGGCCAAAACACCCATTGCTAAACTGAAGGACAACCATACAAATGGGTAACACCTGGATGAAGGCTGGAGAATGTAAAGTTGAAGTAAACACTAATTTTTTCTGTCTGAGCCAAAATACTGTGGGTTGCACTACCTTGTAACACGTAAATTTTATGGTTTATGCCTTTTATTCCTCCATTTTAAATTAAGTATATTTGAAGCATACTTCATATACACTAAGTATTTGGTATTTTTCTTTATTCAGCGTCTTAAAGGGCTTCAAAAAATTGATCTCCCAAGGCTGCTGTGGGGTCACAGAAATTGATAACCCTTACAAGCTATGCTTATGTGAGCCCGCCTGCGTCTCCCAGATAGTGCACTTTGTAAATTAATCCTCCAAAGGCAAATATATTGTAAGTAGCTTGTTATCTCTAAAGTACTAAATTGAAGAATACATGGGATTATATTGACAGAAATTACATTTTCTGTAATGGGGTTTAATATATCTGAAATCTCTCCCATAGGCTCCTACGCTCTCTAAGAGAGGAGGGTTTGTTAATGTAGGTGCAATGGACATCAAGACCAAATTTATTCACTAAAATGGATTAGGCCATGTAATCAGAGCTTCAGTAATATTAATCTCTGACACTTATTGAACAGGAAAAAAAAAAAAAAAAACAACTTTTGTCTGCAAACTGGCATTCCTCCCTCCCTTTTCCCCAGCAGGCTTGCTGTTTGTCTTGACCATTTTCTGGGTATTACTTCAAAGAGGATAAGGTTTCCCATCATAAACACTAATCTAAAAATATTAGGACAATTAATTAGATACACTTAGTTTTACAAGGTATTAGATTGCAGCACACTTCAAGTATGACACTTGTTCTGGGACAGTGGGAGGAACCCACATTTTGATGCAGTATCAAAGGGTAATAAATCAAACTTTTTTTAAAAGAGGTTTGCTGCTGTATGATACTTAAATCACAAGTAATTTTACTGGTTGCCTTCACCACACCCTGAGCAGTTAGCAACCCAAAGTCCACTGCAGAAACAGCACAGATCCTGACTTCCTTCAAATGAATCACTACTGTAACAGAGCAAGGGCTCCATCAACCCTTAGCTGGAGCAAATAAATAAAATTGCTCCACACAATGTACTTCAGCAGCAAAGAACCAGATTGTCCTCAAAGTTTATTCATAAACTGGATTTTGAAAACAAACTGATAAAGAGATTCAAGGGCGTCAGTCAAAAAGAAAAACCTCTCTAACTACACTATAAAAATAATGACAGCAGTCCCAAATAACAATATGCTCAGCAGAAATGGGACCAATTGTCCCTGTTTTGCCTCTGACATCTGAACCTCTTCCAAGACAAATGTCCTGCAAATGCATGTGTCTTCCTATTGAAGAACAGATATCCTCAGCCAGAAAGAGAACTGATGTGAATACACTGAGATCTGCCCAAATGATGGGAAAATAAAATACAGTGGCAAACCTCATACCTTCTACACCTGAAAACCACTCAGCTGGTTCTATCCCTTCTGTATCAACAAACTTTTGGGGAGGGGAACAACAAGGGCAAGGTGTGTCCCCAAAGGAATAACCAGAGGGTGCCAGTGGCCATATAGAAACACTAAGGAAAATTACTTACCAATTGTTCACTTGAAGTATAGTGAGCCCTGTGTCTTGTGCCAACTGCTTTTTCTGCTCTTCTGAAGGGTAAGGGTGCTATAAAACACCAAAATAAATACAAACATTTAAAACAATGTGCTTTTTTGCCTACTTTTTATTTTAAATTAAAAAAAAAAAACCCAAACCAAACCAAAACAGAAGCATGACATCTATTATTGAAAGGTGAAAATGCTGAGGTGTGTCACTCTTTTATAATTATTAATGGGCTACTACATCACTTAATTAATGGCAGTAAAAGACAAGCCAATTATAAAGATTAGTGAAGTGGAGAAATAACTGCTTAGGACACTGACAGTACCTTGATACTTGAGAAGGATATTTGTTGCATTAGCTGAAAATTTTTTGTACTTGTCTCAAATGACCGATTAGAGTCAAATAATTTATTTTTTTCTCTTTTTTCTGTTTTTAACAGAACAACAAAGAATGTGATAAAGAATTTCTCTGTAAAACTGAAACACACTGATATTTTCTGAGATAGTGAAGGCAAAACTTGCCACTGTCCCAAAATAATCTGCAAATAAGATCAGCATCCTGAACATAAACAAATGCCTGTGTTTTGAACACAGGCCAATGCAAGGTCAACAATCAGCACATTTTTGCCTGACATTAGCATGGCTGTGCTGAGCTAATCCTAAGAGACAGAAAATAAATACTCCTTTAATTGAAGATAATGTTATAATTCAATCATAAGTTTCTTGTGAGAACTTGATTTGCTTTCTCAGAAAATTTGCTTCTGCATGAATACAGATTGCTTAATAAATCAACAGCAAAAACCACAACCAAGTCTGAAATGTAGAAATATAATTTCTGTCCTTCCCATCTATGCAAAAATGTCACTGCCACAAAAGGAAATGGCCAAATACTGCAAATGTAACAGTTGCAAGGAAAAGTCCTGTTTTGAGGCACTGGTTAAGCTCCTAACCTGGATGCCCAAGTCTCAGTACATATCTAATTCAGACCTGGACTGCTGCAAGGTGCTAACAGCATTTCAATAAAGATCATTTGATATAATTGGTTAGTCCTATCCCAATACTATTTAGCAGTTGATTGTCACAAAGTATTTACTGTTACACATTCATCCATTTTTTTCCCCCAAAAAACTTCCCTTATTCTCTGGATGCATTCTTCAGCATAATATTACATGAAACATAAACTGAAACCTTGCAAAGCTTAAGAATTTAAAACCTCATAAAATCGCACAATCTTATTGGTATTATAGCTATTTGGCAGATTTTACATATTTTTGTAAACAGCTTAGTCTGACTTTTCATGGCTATGTTACATGCAAGTATCACCTCACATTACTAAAGAGGGATTTTTGTTGGAACTCCAACAACTTCTCTTAACTCAATACATCAATTTCAAAGCCCACCACCATGGCCATCAGCTCCATAAGAGACTTTTTATCTTTTTTCACCCAAAAATGTTGAGGAATTTTCAATTACTTTAAAAGTACTGTTCTCTTGACAGGAAGCTCACAGATGACCTGCACACCTGTAGACTGTCCCTTGTATTTTCTGTGTGTACATGAAACAACTCCAGAATTGTAAAGTGAAAAACAGAGGGAAGGGGATTTTTCTTCTTTTTATGGGCAATTTGCATTTCACACATGCAAAAATACAGCATGTATTTTACTGTCTGCCTTCTACACACGTTCATCCACAACAGTCATACTCATGTCCATCTATCTGAACACAACATTTTTCTTCCCTTCAATGAGAAAACCCCAAACCCTACAGAGACGATTTGTAACATTTTCATCTTTACAGCTTACTTCTCATTTCATTACTTTGCTATCAAGCAAGGACAGAATTACTCTTTTTTTTTTTTTTTCTTATTTTGCTTTGCCACCTTACATGTAATCTAATTTTAAGTAATTGAACAAACTGTGTCTAATTTCATGCAGCAAGCAATAATTACTAGACAGCCTCTAGCTATTGGAATTGAGAAGTCTGTCTCCATTAAGTAATTTTCAATTGTTCTGGACATTTTTTTTTTTAATAGACATGACTGGATAAAATTAGCCATCAAAATAATATTGTCACTGCAAAAATAATTGCTTTAAAAGTCCCAAACTACAAATTCCTCAAATTGTGGTACGTCTAAGGTCATCTGATTTTTTTCTTTTCATATTCTAGTACAGCATAAACTTTTAATTTCATGATAAATCTGTAATTGCCATAATCACATGACAGCCTGGGATTTCACACAGCTAATCCCTCTTAGCTAAAGGGTCACAATGCGGCAGGCTTTTTAACTATGATTCAGTGTGGTTTCAAGTAATCTTAAACACTAAGCAACATTATTATATAAGCTTTCTGTGGATCATACAAGATGTTTCTTTGTAGACTAAAAATAAAATAAAATAATAGAAATGACTTGACAAAGAATCAGCATGCCACAGGCTAGGTTGCTATAAAAACATTCAAAGCCTTAGTTGCATTCCCACCCACAGGGCTTGGAAGGCCTGTGCTACAGGCAAAGGCAGACATCACATTGCAACAGAGAGAAAGAGGGAAACCCTGAGAACTGCCATTTCATGAAGAAATAGGAAATTCAATCAAAACTGTTGCTGTTGGTCTTTACTCCACAAGAATGACTAGTGTCTTCTGAAAACTTTCTAAAGGCTGTTTGAAGGAATACAGACAAATGCACATATATATGGATATATATATTGTGTGTGTATAGATTATATTTTTATGAATATGTATAAAAGATATCTTAGTCAAACGGTTAAGTTTAAGGTAGTCGTGTGAAGAGGAGAAAGTTGGATTTGCTCCTTAGGGGTCCTGTCCTACTTGAGATATTCTATAATTTTACTAAATAAATAGATAAATATATAGGGAAGAATGACTAAAACCACTGCAGTGACTCCAGCTGACAAGTCCACCTATTACTCTGGATCACTTTGGGATATCAAGGCAAACTGCTCAATAAACAGTGACTTGAGACCTTTACTTTGTTGTGTACATTAGCTCCTACCATTATCTCTTAAAAGCTTAATTATTTGCAAACAATTGATCAAGATGGGAATTGGAGAAAAGAGACACCGGACCACCGGGAGAGCTGCAATGCATTAGGAGAGCAAACAGAATTACCTTTAGGTCTTATAATCAGAATTAACGATTGGGACCGTATGCAGGGCAGCATGAGAAGCTGTAACGCTCATGCTGGACTGTTTTCCATTTGATCTGCATTAACACCTCCAGTGAAAGCCATAAAACAGTGATTACAGAGGGGAAGGCTGACCCTCCTTCCCAGAACCAGCCCAGCTTGTGTATGCTGGAAGACTGCAGACAGGCTTTCTTGCCAAGGCCAGAGGAAAAGGATAAATCCAAGGGGGAAAACAAGCTAGGAAGCAGGCAGGTTAAAAAAAAAACAAAAACCAAAACCAAAACCAAAAAAAGGGCATTTAAAGAAATAAGGCTGACAACAGATAAGGGCTCTGAATTTGGCTCTGATATTTTCTGATCAAGCCTGCTGCTGCTACAGAGCTATAGAGCAGCATCCACTGAATGATATGAGACCTTGTGCTTTTCCCTTTCCATAAATCTAGCACTGAAATGTGGATTGTTTGGCACCATTAATGTGTTTTTGAGGCTCTGTGGTATTACTTTTAATAATGACTTAGTACAGAAAGTGATTGCTTAATAACACCATCAAAGTCTGCATGCAAATGAAAATTATTCCTGGGGGATTTGCCCAGGGTAATATGAACAGTTAAGGAACATTTGAAAAGGTAAAAATAACTATGCAAAATATGAGTCAGAGCAGTCATTTTAGCAGTAACAAAGAAATCAAAGTGACAGAGAGAAAAATTTAACTTTCCATCATATTTTCTCATCACTGTTTTATGAATGGTATTTAGCGAGCAGTAGCCTTAGTAAAAGCCCATTTTTAATGCAGCTTGAGAGCATTTTTAGCAAAAGAAAACAATAAGATTTTTTTTTAATCACTTTTGACTACAGATGGTGGCTAAAGTCTCCATTAGGAAAGCATCCAAGGTTGTCTCTTAATGCTACACCTTGTCCAAATGTACTCCTTTCCTCAAATTTTCCACCCCAGGCAGCAAATGCTGGATACCAGGACAGCGACAGACTTTATCTTATCTGTAACCCGGCATCAACAGCACTCCCTCTCCTCCTCTTCTGCGACAGCAGTGCATCATAATGGTGCCAGAAAAATGGGAAAATAATCCTGCCCTTCTCACCCCTCAGATTACTAATTCCTCACGGCACCGAACCGGCTCGACACCACGGCTGCCACCCAGCTCTCCTACAGCAGCGAGGCAGCAGCAATTCCCGAGAGAAAGGCTGCTTGCCCTGCTAGGAGGAGCCTGTGGCACCCATCCAGCGCTGCCCTTGTCGTGGCAGTGCCGTGGCTTGGCTGGCCACGCCAGGAGAACCATTTCGGAAGCCCTTTTATCCCCTTCCTCCAGCCCTCTGCCTCCTCCGGAGCTCGGTGTAGTGCACCAAGGTGAGACGACCTTGAGCTAAACTCTGGGAGGTGATGAAGAGAAATCACCCCCTTAAAATTTACGCCCCAGGAGTGTTTATTAACTGTTTTTTAACATCAAAATAAAAAAGAAAACAAATGCCAACACTGTGATTTTCTTGTTTCTGAAGAGAAACCCAGCCTAACTCAGTATCCAGAATAAAGCTCAAGGATCAGCCTTCCAGTGACAAACTGTACGTTGACTTTATGCTGAACTCAAAATTCTTGCTTTACTCAAACTTGTCCAGGGTTAGCTAAGGTGGCAGCACAGCCGTTTGAGTCTCTCCCCTTCCCCAACCTCCTTCTGTTTTGCATTTGAACTGTTTACATTAATGATCAAGTTGATCTATGAGAAATTACTATTTTTTTTAATATCCATAATGCTTTCCTATTGTCTCTCAGCTTTATGAATTAGTTTTACTGTTGCAGTGAATGCTTTTTTTGTCTCCTGACTGCACATTATCAAAGGGACACTTTGTGCCTTCCATTTGCATTACAAAAGCAGTGCATGGTGTAGTCTAAGAACAGAGCTTGAATTTATA